CATTCCTCCTACGCCTGCGTGCGAAATCCCCCCATCTCTCCTGCTGCTCTCTCGTCTCGCTCCTGCTACTGGCTCCATCGCTCTCCTCCCCTCTTTCACGCTCCGCTCTCTCTCGTCCGTCTTCTCTCTCGCACTCTCGCTCCGTCTCTCCACAGTCTCCCCGGCTCCTGGCTCTGTCCTCTCTCCATCATACATGTCCTCATGCGCACTCTCGCCCCTCAGCAGGTTCGACCCCAAGCAGGCGACCGACTTCGGCTCCCCCCGCGCATCGGACAACCCGAACCTAGGACCACCTCACCCCAGCGCCTGAGCCTCCTCCGCGGCTCTTCATCCTGTCATCTCCGATCACACGGCTCTCTCTCCGCACACAGCGCACCGCGTAGCAGCTCCCACAGACTCCGACTGCCCAGCGCACATCGATCTCAGACCGCACACACATCGAACCTCCCCTCTCAGGTCCACTCGTCTCGCCCTCCTCGCAATGTCCCTCACTCGTCTCGTCTCATCACTCACCGATTCCTCTCTCTCATCTCTCCTCTCTGCGTCTCCCCGTGCATCGCGCCGTCCTCAAGCACAGCATCCCGCCGGCTCTCTCGAACGCAGGATCAACCACGCTCCTCCACCCTCAGGTCGCAACTCTCGGAGCTCCGACGTCCTGGCTCACCGCACTCAGCCGCCTCGGCGCCCCCAACTCTCATCGGGGAAGTCCTCTCTCCAGCCACCACTCGACTCCTCACAAGCCACTTCGTCCCCCTCACTCTGAGCCTCTCTCCTCAAAGGTCCTCGCACTTCGTCTATCTCTCCGGCTTATCTTCTTCCTCACATCGTCGTCCACTCCCCATCTCTCGGCTTCGATCTCGTCTTCGTGAACGCTCTCGGCGCGTCATCTTCTGTTCTCGCTTCCTCGTCATCTCCCTCGACTCTCCATCTCCTATCCATTCTCTCCGATCGAGCTCGGCTCTCGCTTCATCCTCCTCGTCGGTCTCACTCTTCTCGAGCTTCGTCCTCTCCTGCTCGTTCAATCTCGTTCTTCTTCTTCGTCTCTCTCTCTCGTCCTCTTCTTCTCTTCCTCTCTCGTCTCTTCTCTCCGTGCCTTCTTCGTCTCTTCCTTCTCGTCTCTTCCTCGTCCTCTCGCCTTGCTCTTCCTCGGGGTCTCTCAAAATCATGTCCTCAGCTCGACTGGTCACCGTGTCCGCTTTCGACTCGTTTTCTTTCTCTTCTCTTCTCTTCTCTCTTTTCTTCTCTTCTTTTCTTCTTTTTTCTCTCTCTCTTCTCTTATCTCTTCTCTCCTCTTTTTCCTCTCTCTTTCCTTTCTCTTTCTCTCTTTCTCTCCCTTTTTCTCTTTCTCTTTCCCTCTTCTTTCTCTCTCTCTTTTCTCTTCTTTTTCTCTTCTTTCTCTCTCTTCTTTTCCTCTTTTTTCTTTCTCTTTTCTCTTTTTTGTCTTTCCTCTCTTCCTTCTTCTTTTTCTTCTCTTCCTATCTCTCCTCTCTTTCTTTCCCTTTCTCTCTTTTTTCTCTTTCTCTCTCTCTCTTTTTCTTTTTCTTTTCTCTTCTCCCTTCTTCTCTTTTCTTCTCTTCTTCTCTTGTCTTCTCTTTTTTTCTCTCCTCTTCCTCTTCTTCCTTTCCTCTCTTCTTCTCTTCCTCTTCTTTTTTCTTCTTTTCTTTTTTCTCTTTTCTTCTTTTTTTTCTCTCTTCTTTTCTCTTCTTTTTTTCTTTTTCTCTTTGTTCTTTTCTTTTCTTTTTTTCTTTTATCTCTTCTTTTTCTTTCTTTCTTCTTTTCTTTCCTTTTTTTTCTTTTTCTTTCTCCTTTCTTTCTTTATTTCTTCTCTTTGTCTTTTCTTTTCTTTCTCTCTCTTTTCTTTCTTCTTTCTTCTCTCTTGTTCTTTCTTCTGTCTCTTTCTCTTTTTCTTTCTTTCTTCTTCTTCTTCTCCTTTTCTTTTTTTCTTCTTTCTTCTTTCTTGTCTTTCTTTTTTCTTTCTTTTCTTTTTTTTGTCTCTTCTCTTTTTTCTCTCTTTTCCTTTCTTCTTTTTCTTTTTCTTTCCTTTTTCTTCCTCTTCTTCTTCTCTCTTCTCTTCTTTTTCTTTTTTCTTCTTTCTTTGTTCTCTTTCTCTTCTTTTTTTCCTTGTTCTTTTCTTTGTTCTATTTTTTTTCTTTTTCTTCCTGTCTTTCTTTCTGTTCTTCTTTCTTCTTCTTCTTCTTTCTGTCTTCTTCTCTCCTCTCGGTCTCCCTACTTCTCTCTTCATCACTCTGTCTCGTTTTCTTTTCCCTTCTGCTCTTTTCTATCTCTCTATTCTTCCTCACTTGTCTACTGCCCCCTCACTCTCCTCCGTCCTCTGTCCTCCCCTGTCTCTCCTCCTCTACATCTCTCCAATTGTCTCACTCTCTCGCCTGGACTCTGCTTTCTTCAACTCGCTCCTCTCTCATCCCTCCTCTCCTTCGGAAGGTCCCCATCCCTTCCTCATAATGACAGGCACTCTCCTCCCGATCCTCCCTCTACTCTTCTCCGCCATCCCCCCCCTCGTCCTCTTTCTTCCCTCCCTCCTCTATTCTTTCTTTTCTCTGTCTCTCCCTTCCTCCACCTACTCTTACCCCTCTGAGTATTGATGTCGCTTATAGAAGTCTTATAGACACTTACACCAATACGTCTTATAAGAAGTCTCATACCCCAGTCTTCCATAGTACCCTGAAGTCTTCCCATAGACCCGTCCCATAGAAGTACATCATAGACAGATACCATTAGAAGTCCCCTATAGAACTGTCCCAGCTAGCTAATCCATTCTTCTTCATTTGCCTCTTTGACATATACCTCTCACTCTGATGCAGCACACGCACTGATGACTTTCTTCTATCTTTGTCTTACGGTAGCGAGTCCATTGAACCCGTGGTGCGGCCCGAACCCCCGGTTGAGCTCCCCTGCACACACAGCACGGTACACGGTCCAACACACATACTCCCCCCCGGCCTTCAGGATCCTGGATAGGGGACTAATTTCTTTCACCGCAGGATCAGGCTCTAATTAGACTCACAACTCTGTGAGTCTCTTCAGACGCTTTAAAATACAGATATGTTCTGGTTTCTCTAAACCTCTGCACATATCAAAGGCTGTAAAGCACTGCGGACACGGGAGACCACACCAGATGGAAACACCCTGCCTCGTACTGGACATGAAGGGAAATGTTTTTTCTGGTTTCATTGTCAGTTTCCGTAATGGCGAAGGCGCCGTCTGCTGCTAATTATGTGTGTTTGGTGTTTTTATTTGATTGTGGTTCTTCTTAATTAACTCTAAAAGTAAGATGTGTTGTTATTTTTATGTGATAGTCTAGTTCTCTCTAATATTAATTACACATTTTACAGGCCCCACAAAAATGTGCCTTACATTGATCCTCCTGGACCTCTCTCTAAATGTTGTTATAAACCTTATGTCATTATTATTAATTCTTATTTTACGGGCATAGTCCCGGCCTTCCCTTCTCTTCTAGCTTCTAGTTAGATATCCACGGTGCTCGTTACGAGGTGTAAACCAATGTCGTCATGCCTAAGGGCTGTCACTTCATCGGCGCTGAGTGCTCGCTGCTGCTCGATGCTCAGTTCGTTGTCTTTCGCTCGCGAGCCTCTATTTAGGCTATGTGTAACTACATGAATACTGATCAAAGAATCTTCTGAACATTCCGCGCTGAAGTACTTCTATGTTATATTCTGATTCTGAACCTATATCCATTTTCAGATCCTATGCAGATTGATCGTCCTAATATTAATGTGCAAAATTCATTTGATCAATAGCACTTCCTGGTTTGCCAGCTGATCGCATTTCTTTTGGTGCTTTTAAAAAACTATTATTTTTTCATTCAAACCGTTCACAAACTAATTCTGAAAACTCGCCACCGTGCATGGTATTAATATTGTTTATGTATAATGGTTCTCTCATTAACTTTCAAAGTGTTTAGGAATACGATAGGTGTAGACTCAATCAGGAATAGGAGCACCCAAGCGGGGAGGGGCTTGCGTCCGTTTTTTTAAATCAAGTACCTCTTTCTCTTTCTGTCAAACTCCAGACTAATCACTTTTTATGTCACGTTTCAGTGCGTCCAGTAATGTGTGTCAGTAATGTCTGTTCCTGGGTTCTTATTTTGTTACACTCTCTTTTTACTTTTTTACTTCAAGTTTTTTTGTACAGCCCTAAAACCACTACAGTTGTTTTTCTCATGAGGACTTTGAGGTAGTTGTCCGATTAACCAAATACAGATCAAGTGATATTTGTCTGAGTCTTATTCTAAGTGGCGTCAACCACAAAACTGTATTCATACATTTCTCCTGATAACACCACCTTCATTTCAGTTTATGGTCCTATCATTTAACCTTAGCTCAGGTATCGATAATAAAAGTGACACGTATTCATTAAACAGGTTTTCTGCTTCTGCTATCAAAAATAGAATAAGTAAAACAATATATAATGTATCACACTTAATTGGACACCTCCTTGTATAAGTTAGCAGTTATCAATTTCTTCCGGCTGTCGTTCCATAATCAGACCAGTATATCAACTCCTAAAGCCTCAAGCAGGGCAAGGGCCATGGGTAGTGCTGTGATGGGAGACCTCTAAACAGCAGGTGCTAACAGCTGCGGGCTTGCCCTGTTTAACAGTGCCAAAACTGTGGCTGTGTCCCTTAGGCAAGTGAGCTCTTCCCCCACCATTCTAGAAATGGGTCTGGTGGTTGTTGTGTGAATGGATGGTGGTGGTGGGAGGGGGCTGTTGCCCCAAGGGCAGTCTGTGGCATACAGTAGTAGTTCACATAACGAATGCATGATAAATGATAGTGTTGTCTGCGACCCAAAGAGGAAAATAATCGGAAACCTTTCTTCAGGACCCATGAGACCCACGGTCACGAGCAGAATGTTAATACGACCTATCTCTGGTTGTTAAAAAATAGAAATACGCAACAAGCTACAGGAGACCAGGTAGCTGTTATCTCTCGTGAATAACAGTTCAAGTCATGGTTCACCGCGACCCACAATTGCACTGTTCCCTCCTATGCCTCTGTCGTCCTATTTATACCCACAGACCTTCAGCTGTTTGAAACGGTTCTGTTGTGCTCGGAACCGGCCTTCAACATATTCTCTTTATTTTTATATTCTTCTTTCACAGGCTCTGTTGCATTAGAATGCTGCTAAATCCTCCTCGTGACTAATGTTTATTGTGCACATGTCCCTGTTAAAATTAAAACCGTACCATTTAATAACTATTGAACCCGTGCATCATGCAGTGCCAAGCTTCTGGTTGTGTTCTGTGGATTATTTCCTGTACTTTTGGTTTTTTTTTGCGATTATGAAACTTTTTGTGCACATTTTTGTCCTATTCCTTCTTATGCGACCTCGTTATTTATTTATTTTCATGAGGTAAGAGTATTGTTCTATTGCGACAGTTAGCTCAGTTGGTCTAGAGCATTGGCATTAACGCCAGAAGGCTCGTGGGTTTTACATTTCCACACCTCTACACCTTCTCCACCGACTCTCACTGATGACTGACTGTCGTCTGTGTCCTTTGGGCATAGCACTTACCCCCCTTTGCCACCAATGCCCCCACTGAAGATCAATGGCTATGCCTCCACACTCAGAGTGCAGCCGTCCTCCTCGTGGACCTCACCACTGCAGAGGGTCAGTGAACCCGCCGGGGCTGGTGCATCTCTGCGACTGCCCACCCCTCCTGACCCAGAAAGAATGGATTAAAGGGAAGGAAATGGATGGTCGATGGATGTTATTTGTTTCACGAAAAAAAAGCTGACTCCCGGTACCACAGCTTTAGATGGACTACATTTCATGAGAACCATTCTCCTATACAATGGTGATGCCGTTGCTGCAATATCGTCTCCCCTGCCTGACATATTATCATCATAACGATTCTTTTTAAAGAGAGATTACTATATATATTTTTTGTCCAGATCAGCAAACATCCATTCAGTGCCTTATTAAATCAGAAATTACAATATGAATGAAGTTTGTTTATTTTAGGGACAGCATGTAGTAAAGTCTGGCTACACCAGTGTGATTCAGCCTTCATGCTTTTGTAACCTGTATTTTAAACATGTTTTTAAATGTACTTGAGTGTAGAGAAAGGCCACCCCTAAATGAATGATAATGCCAATGTCATTATTTACTATAATTATATAATCAGCCTGATTCTGTGTTCTGCCCTGGTGTATAATGTAACGCTGCTGTTCTGTCCGTGGGCGATAGAATGAAAGAGGTTTAGAGGTTTGGGCAGAACCAGCTGCAGCGTACGCGGATCGGGAGGACCACTTTTAGTCTGAATCATGAAGCCCAAGGTCTCTGGGAAGGGTTCTGGAAATCCTACCTTGAGGGAATTGTCGCCCAGATGCATCACAGTGACACCAACGCACCCAACCCAACACCACCACCACCACACACCCCTCCACCACCACCACCACCCAACCACCACTCACACCAACACCAACACCAAACACCACCACCACCCAACCCAACCATCTCCAACACCACCCAACACCACCAACCAAACACCACCACCACCACCACCACAACACAACACCACCACCAACCCCACCACACCAACACCACCAACACCACTCACACACCAACACCACCAACACCACCAACACCACCAAACACCAACACCACCACCAACACACACCCACCACCCCCACCACCAACCACCACCACCAACACCAACACCACCAACACCACCAACACCACCACCACACCAACACCACCCCACCACCAACACCCACCAACACCACCCACCTAAACACCAAACACCACCCCCAACACCACCAACACTCCACCAAACACCAACCACCACCCAACACCACCAACAAACACCAACACCACACCATCCACCACCAACACCACACCACCACAACACCACCACCACCACCACCAACACACCACCAACCCACCAACACCACCAACACCACCAACACCCACCCCAACCCCCCACCACCACCACCACCACCAACACCTACCACCTCTCCACCATACAACACACCTACCAACAACCACCAACACCACCAACACCACCAACACCAACACCCCCCACCAACACCACCACCACATCCACCAAACACCACCACCAACACCAACACCACCAACCCACCACCAAACACCACCAACACCACCACCAACACCAACCAACACCACCACCATCACCAACACACACCACCACCAACACACACCACCAACACCAACACACAACACCACACCACCAACACCACCACCACCTAACACCAAACACCACCAACACACCAACAACACCCCCCCCCCACCAACACCACCAAACACCACCAAACACCACAACACACCAAACACCCACCTCCACCAACTACAACATCCAACATCTCCAACACCTAACACCAAAACCACCCACCTACACCAACACCACCAACCAACACCATCACCAACACACCAACACCCACCACCACCACCACACCACCTCCAACACAAACACACCACCATCCACCAAACACCATCACCAACACCAACACCAACACCAAACACCAATCACCACCCACCACCACCACCACCACCAACACCTACACCAAACACCCAACACCCTCCACCTCCACCAACACTCAACACCAACACCTAACACCAACTCACAACACACAAACCAAACACTCCACACACCAACTCACAAACACCATACAACCACACCACCCAAACACCAAACTCAGAAACCAACAAATATGTAGACCTGTTTGTGACTAGTTGCTATTTGAACTCTACATCCTGATATGACTTTTATGGGATTTCAAGCAATAATATCGGCTCCCATACGTAAAGTCTGGTCTTACCATCGTGTACACTCTGTCTTACCCTGTGAAACTCTGGATCCATGATCCTTCATTCTGTACGTATGGTCTTACCATCGTGTAAACTCCGGTCCATGGAGAATAGCGATAGTAAAATAATCTCGTTCTGGATTCCAATCCCAATATATGAAGAAACTGAAGCCAAGGAGCACGAGGCACACTGTCTTAGTAAATGTCATTGAAGCAAAGATGTTGTGGCTTCTAACTCCCCACGGGTCTCCCACGGTAAAGTGGCAAACAGGTAGATGGCTAAAGCTGGCTACTGCATAAAGCTAGGCTAAATGCTAAAGCTAGCGCTAATTGCTAAAGTAGCTAATGTACCCTCATCTCACTCGGGCTCATTACATACGCTCAAACATGTAAACTCAGATCCACATGGTTTCAATCTGCAAAAGGATTCGTTAGACCACCTCCCACCCTGTTCATGTTGAGGGTCAATAGTCAATCCACTCCTTTTCTTCCCCTTAAGATCCCATCCTTTTGGGGCTAGGACGTTGCTGACCACCCTTCAACCAGGTCGGCCAGTCAGAGCTGCATCCACAGCTACACTTAGCAACCCAGCCCTCAATGGATCCTCCTGCAGGTGCTGACGTCAACAGGAGCTGAGAACTTTCTGTGGGGCGCTTCAGGCACAAAGTGGGGTTATTGTGTCATATGCAGATATCGGTTGCAGATATGAAACAAACCTGTTCTTGTTTTCCAGCTGGGCGATCAGCTCCCTCTTCTGCTTGTTAGCATCAAAGTTAATACTTCGGTTTGGAATCATCTAAGAAAGAAAATTAATATAATAAAGATCCACATTTAAAGGGCACCAACCTTTTTTGTCCCGACAGAAAGATTCTCCTAAAACATGTATCTTTCACTGGGATGTAAAGTGATTTAAGCACAAACATATTTATGTCCATCTTTGACCTTTGACCTAAACTCTCTCCACTCACTCCAGATCCTTCGGTCTCCGCCAGACGTGACGTGTAGCGAGCGATCAGCGCGTGGGCTCCTGGTCCTGTCGGCCTGCGCTGCCCACACTGAAGCACACACAGTACTTACAATATCTCAATAATACATTTGAGTAAATACTAAGTGGAGACTCACGTTGGGCTGCCCTGGAGCCTGTTCACATAAGCAGCGATAAGTGCGTGTTCCACGTTCATTCTCTGAGCTGCAGACAAACTGAGGCACATCATCATAAACCACTTTAACCACTTTAACCACTCACATTATGTCTATTCAGGCGTCAGACACATTCTGTAAACTGGCTCGTCCTGAGACTGGTACGACCAGGCTAAAACTGAGTGTGACATAAACGGTGTCCATATGGTACTGTGGTTGTAACGTAGCAAATACTTTGAATGTAGTCTGTATATTATATGTTATATTGTTTAAAGCTCAGTGTATTATTACCTTTTTGATGACTCCGGCAGCACCGGGGACAGCATCAGTTCTTCACCCTCGCTCCCGATTGGTCGAGTCGGTCTAACATTAAAAACATATAGTTTTGCATAAGACACAAAGAAACCACCAAACTCTGACTGTGCAGTCTGTAGTCTGACCCAAGTCAGTATCTCTGTGTCAGTGGGAGGCCGTAGAACATGAGCTGCGACTACACTGTATAAAACTACACTGTATAAAACTACACTGTATAAAACTACACTGTATACAACTACACTGTATACAACTACACTGTATAAAACTACACTGTATAAAACTACACTGTATAAAACTACACTGTATAAAACTACACTGATGCTTATTTTTTGGTGAGAGAATACCACACACAAAGCTTCTCACTGCTAACCCACTGGTAAACAGACACAGACCCGTTATCAGGAGAATCTATAACTACAGAGGGGGCTGGAAATTGTGAAAAAACACATCTGTGCATGCGTCAGCTGCACGAGCTCCATTCATTTAAACGAGAGACTTCTAAAGCCCACAGCGACTAAACTAGACTGGTCCAGAACACTCAGCATTGACACACATGTGGAACGGAGCTTTGGCCAAGAGACAACTTTTGGACCATCCTGTAAAGACGTTTTCCAGAGGTAAGAAGATGCTATATGTTAGCATTGGCTAATTCTTATTCCGGGTCCACCCCCACAGGCCCGGGGTGGTACTGCAGCATGTCAGGGTCCACCCCCACAGGCCCGGGGTGGTACTGCAGCATGTCAGGGTCCACCCCCACAGGCCCGGGGTGGTACTGCAGCATGTCAGGGTCCACCCCCACAGGCCCGGGGTGGTACTGCAGCATGTCAGGGTCCACCCCCACAGGCCCGGGGTGGTACTGCAGCATGTCAGCGCACCTCATTTTGGACACTTTTGAGCCAGGACCCGCCCACACTGGTTGTAACACAAGTAAACTCAGAGTGCTAAACAAAACAAGATAGAAACAACAAAAACAGTACTTTAAAAAGAGTCAGGGGACAGTGTGCACAGATAAACACAACTGTTTTTAACCTGGATTTTAACATTGCCAAAGCACTCAGAAAACATACGCAGACACGGGGAGAACATGCAAACTCCACTCCCGAACCAGAATTTAAACCCAGGATTTTTATGCTGAGAAGCGACTAACATGCTAACATGGTAAATTCAGATTAATCTTTTTAGTCATTTGCAGTAAAACCACTTTGGAATACATGGGCTAAAGTACCAGGTGTGCACCAGTCAGATATATGACATACCATCAACCAATCTGCAAAAACTGTTCAATAGATCAGAGGATAAGGAAGAGCTGATCCCGGGTCTGGATTATTGCTTAATGAGAATGAGCCTAAAGACATTAACATTGGTCTCTCCCTATGGTCCAGTACCATGTGGTCTCTCCCTATGGTCCAATACCATGTGATCTCTTCCTATGGTCCAATACCATGTGATCTCTTCCTATGGTCCAATACCATGTGGTCTCTCCCTATGGTCCAATACCATGTGGTCTCTCCCTATAGACCAATACCATGTGGTCTTTGTCTATGGACCAATACCATGTGGTCTTTGTCTATGGACCAATACCATGTGGTCTTTGTCTATGGACCAATACCATGTGGTCTCTGTCTATGGTCCAATACCATGTGGTCTCTGTCTATGGTCCAATACCATGTGGTCTCTGTCTATGGTCCAATACCATGTGGTCTCTCCCTATAAACCAATACCATGTGGTCTCTCCCTATAAACCAATACCATGTGGTCTCTGTCTATGGTCCAATACCATGTGGTCTCTGTCTATGGTCCAATACCATGTGGTCTCTGTCTATGGTCCAATACCATGTGGTCTCTGTCTATGGTCCAATACCATGTGGTCTCTGTCTATGGTCCAATACCATGTGGTCTCTGTCTATGGTCCAATACCATGTGGTCTCTCCCTATGGTCCAATACCATGTGGTCTTTGTCTATGGACCAATACCATGTGGTCTCTGTCTATGGACCAATACCATGTGGTCTCTGTCTATGGACCAATACCATGTGGTCTCTGTCTATGGTCCAATACCATGTGGTCTCTGTCTATGGTCCAATACCATGTGGTCTCTGTCTATGGTCCAATACCATGTGGTCTCTCCCTATGGTCCAATACCATGTGGTCTTTGTCTATGGACCAATACCATGTGGTCTCTGTCTATGGACCAATACCATGTGGTCTCTGTCTATGGTCCAATACCATGTGGTCTCTGTCTATGGTCCAATACCATGTGCTCTCTCTCTATGGTCCAGTACCATGTGGTCTCTGTCTATGAATGTGTCTTACACGATGTTGGAGAGGTTGAGGGTCCGCTCGGGTTCCTCCGGGTACTCCGGGTGAGGCGGCTCTCGGGAGGACACGCAGCCCAGGGTTTTACCGAGCGCTCGGCCAAACTTCGAAGCTGAAGATTTCTGCAAAAAACACAAAAATGTCAATATTGAAGGAATCTTTGAAGCCGTTACAGACATGATCTTGTAATCGTTTATTACTCACCTCTGAGTTAGCGTTAGCTCGGCAGTGCATGGAAACATTAGAATGACATGTATGTGGAGTCACTGTATGAGCAATGGAATTATCATTAAAGCTGGGGTACCTAACTTTCAAGCCGCAATAACAATCGATGTAATACAAATCCGATAGATCCTGGATGTGAAACAGTTTGGCTTCATCGCTACTTTTCACGTTCATGTGTTTTTGGTCAAATATTTAGGTCATTATCTTCATCAGCCAATCAGCTCCCTCACACGGCTCCTTCTTTCAGAATTGTAAGACAAACGAGTTACATGTGAGGGGAAGAGTGAGGAACCCCAGATTTAACATCGTCCTACTTAAATATTCATACGTAGTAAGTTTCTATCAGTATTATTTGGTTCACTGAAGAAGCGTAGAAAACTGAATCACAATAATAATAATAATCATTTCATTTAGACCTTTCTAGGACCTTCAATAACTCATGGTTTAGCCAGGGTCACACTGCCCCCTGCTGGTCGCTCACCCAGGAGGAGTGCTCTTTCATCTGGTGCTGACGGCTGTGGGAGCCGCTGGTGTTCCCTCTCCAGAAGCAGTTCTGGCACAGCTGGTAACCGCGGCAACGGAGGCAGCAGTACCGGAAACCCGTCATCCCGTTACTGCGGCAGTAGGAGCACGAGACCGGGTGGTACACTGAGGAGAGAGAGAGAGAGAGGGAGGGAGAGGGAGAGAGAGAGAGAGAGAGAGAGAGAGAGAGAGGGAGGGAGAGGGAGAGAGAGAAAGAGAGAGAGGGAGAGGGAGAGAGAGAGAGAGGGAGAGAGAGAGGGAGGGAGAGGGAGAGAGAGAGAGAAAGAGAGAGGGAGAGGAGAGAGAGAGAGAGAGGGAGAGAGAGAGGGAGGGAGAGAGAGAGAGAGGAGGGAGAGGGAGAGAGGAAGAGAGAAAGAGAGAGAGGGAGAGAGAGAGAGAGAGGGAGACCGAGAGAGAGGGTGGGGGGGGAGAGAGAGAGAGAGAAGGAGAGAGAGAGAGAGAGAAGGAGAGAGAGAGAAGATAAAACCTTTTATCTTTTGCAGACTTGTCAGAAAGAGCCCTGTCACTTTGTGATACTTTGAACTGTTTTTATGTGAAAAGCTTTGTAAAGAGTGACAGAGGCCAATCAAACATGCACAGGGAAAACTGAGGATGAAGCTGCTCAGTCCAAGTAAAGATCCCACACAAAACAAAACTACCTTTAAGAAGATTAACAGTCTTCTTGAAAATGTGAGACAGGCTTCTACAACCATCAGGAACTCCCACTCACTGCAGATCTTTAAATCACTTCAAAAACACCTCTTTCACCCTTTCCTCGAATGTATGTGCGTATTTGAGTGTCCAAAACAGTTCAATGTATTATTATTAGGGCTGTCAAAATGATCGCGTTAACTCACGTTAATTACATTTTTCATTAACGCGTTATTTTTTTTTGACGCATTAACGCATGTCCGAATGACCCGCCCATTTATCCATAAGAATATCACTCAGAATGCTGCGTGTGAGATGGCCTCCTCCGTGGCTGCTCTGGTTGTTGTTAGCGGCTGTGAGTGAGTGCAAGCTTTGCACGGGCTGCAAGCATGGATCTAGCTATTATAATAACAGCAGCAAGCATGGATCTAGCTATTATAATAACAGCAGCAAGCTCCGTTCACATACTCAGCGCTCTGCGCACTGTATTTTCCCTGGTTCTTGTCTGTCAGGCGTGCTCTGCGCACTGTATTCTCCCTGGTTCTTGTCTGTCAGGCGCGCTCTGCGTACTGTATTTTCCCTGGTTCTTGACTGTCAGGCGCACTCTGCGCACTGTATTTTCCCAGGTTCTTGACTGTCAGGCGCACTCTGCGCACTGTATTCTCCCTGGTTCTTGTCTGTCAGGCGCGCTCTGCGTACTGTATTCTCCCTGGTTCTTGTCTGTCAGGCGCGCTCTGCGTACTGTATTTTCCCTGGTTCTTGTCTGTCAGGCGCACTCTGCGCACTGTATTTTCCCTGGTTCTTGACTGTCAGGCGCGCTCTGCGTACTGTATTCTCCCTGGTTCTTGTCTGTCAGGCGGGAGTGTTGCTCGTGTGTGTCTTTGGGAACTAATTATTTTAAAATAGTCTCTTTCAATTGCAAGTTTTGTAATCTGTTTGTTTGATCAATGGATAAAAATAAATGCAATTTATTTAAATGGCACCTTGGCCTGTCTTATACCTGTTTGCCTGCAGGACAGTTCCCTAAACTAACATATCATACTAAAATAGGGTGGGGTTGTTGCAACAATTAATCTACTTAGAAGTTATCCTAAATTACAGCCAGCTAAAGCTCGGTACTAAGACAAACAAAAAAGTAACGCAATAGTTACTTTTACTGGTAACTAGTTACTTTTATAGTGGAGTAACTCAGTTAGTAAGTCAATTACTTTTTGGAAGAAGTAACTAGTAACTATAACTAATTACTTTTTCAAAGTAACTTACCCAACACTGGTAATTATATTTGATAATCTCATTTAACTTCAATTGGAGTGGATTTGAAATAGAATGTTAAACATGCGATTAATCGTGAGTTAACTCACCATTACCATGCGATTAATCAACTAAAAAAATTTAATCGTTTGACAGCCCTAATTATTATCATTATGATTATTATTAATATTATTATTAATAATATTATGATGATGGTGATGAAGATGATGATGGTGATGATGATGAAGATGATGGTGATGATGATGGTGATGATGATGGTGGTGATGATGATGAAGATGATGATGAAGATGATGATGGTGATGATGATGGTGATGATGATGATGGTGATTGTGATGATGATGATGGTGATGATGATGATGATGGTGATGGTGGTGAGGAAGATGATGATGGTGATGATGATGATGAATGATGATGAAGATGGTGATTGTGATGATGATGATGATGAAGATGATGATGGTGATGATGATGGTGGTGATGATGATGATGGTGATGGTGGTGATGGTGATGAAGATGATGATGAAGGTGATGAAGGTGATTCTTACCAGGCTCCACGTCGGCCATGCGGTGCATCAGGGGCAGCCACAGCAGACACTGAGGAGGATCAGAGACGATGTCCAGGAACATGTTCAGCATCACCCTCTTCTGCCAAACACACAACATAGACACACACAGGCTGTAGATCAGACACACACACTTCACAAAGACTTCACACACACACACACACTTCACACAGACACAGACACACACTTCACACAGACACACACAGACACAGACACACACTTCACACAGACACACACACACAGACACACACTCACAGAGGAGCTACCTGCTGTGGGAAACAGGAGCGACACAGACACATACTTCACACAGACACACACAGACACACACTCACAGAGGAGCTACCTGCTGTGGGAAACAGGAGCGACACAGACACACACACACACAGACACACACTCACAGAGGAGCTACCTGCTGTGGGAAACAGGAGCGACACAGACACACACTTCACACAGACACACACACACAGACACACACAGACACACACAGACACACACTTCACACAGACACACACTCACAGAGGAGCTACCTGCTGTGGGAAACAGGAGCGACACAGACACACACTTCACACAGACACACACACACAGACACACACTCACAGAGGAGCTACCTGCTGTGGGAAACAGGAGCGACACAGACACACACTTCACACACACACACACAGACACACACTCACAGAGGAGCTACCTGCTGTGGGAAACAGGAGCGACACAGACACACACTTCACACAGACACACACAGACACACACACACTCACAGAGGAGCTACCTGCTGTGGGAAACAGGAGCGACACAGACACAGACACACACAGACACACACACACACAGACACACACTCACAGAGGAGCTACCTGCTGTGGGAAACAGGAGCGACACAGACTGAGGCTGTATCCGAACGAGGGCCCTTCGTGGACCGCAGTCGGCAGCTTCAGAACCTCCCGCAGGAAAATATCAAACTTTGGCAAAACCAAGACTCCGTGAGAGTCAGAGACCTGAGAAAACACATCTGCAGAAAACACACAACATCACTACCACACAACCTGAGAAAACACATCTGCAGAAAACACACATTACTAACACACAACCTGAGAAAACACATCTGCAGAAAACACACATTACTAACACACAACCTGAGAAAACACATCTGCAGAAAACACACAACATTACTACCACACAACCTGAGAAAACACATCTGCAGAAAACACACAACATCACTACCACACAACATTACTAACACACAACATTACTACCACACAACATTACTACCACACAACATTACTACCACACAACATTACTACCACACAACATTACTAACACACAACATTACTAACACACAACATTACTAACACACATTACTAACACACATTACTAACACACATTACTAACACACAACATTACTACCACACAACATTACTAACACACAACATTACTAACACACATTACTAACACACAACATTACTAACACACAACATTACTAACACACAACATTACTACCACACATTACTAACACACATTACTAACACACAACATTACTAACACACAACATTACTAACACACAACATTACTACCACACAACATTACTACCACACAACATTACTACCACACAACATTACTAACACACATTACTAACACACAACATTACTAACACACAACATTACTAACACACAACATTACTACCACACAACATTACTAACACACAACATTACTACACACACATTACTACCACACAACATTACTACCACACAACATTACTACCACACAACATTACTAACACACATTACTAACACACAACATTACTAACACACAACATTACTAACACACAACATTACTACCACACAACATTACTAACACACAACATTACTACCACACAACATTACTACCACACAACATTACTAACACACAACATTACTAACACACAACATTACTACCACACAACATTACTAACACACATTACTAACACACAACATTACTACCACACAACATTACTAACACACAACATTACTAACACACAACATTACTACCACACAACATTACTACCACACAACATTACTAACATTCACACATTACTACCACACAACATTACTAACACACAACATTACTACCACACAACATTACTACCACACAACATTACTAACACACAACATTACTAACACACAACATTACTAACACACAACATTACTACCACACAACATTACTACAACACAACATTACTACCACACAACATTACTAACACACAACATTACTAACACACATTACTAACACACAACATTACTAACACACAACATTACTAACACACAACATTACTACCACACAACATTACTAACACACAACATTACTACCACACAACATTACTACCACACAACATTACTACCACACAACATTACTACCACACAACATTACTACCACACAACATTACTACCACACAACATTACTACCACACAACATTACTAACACACAACATTACTAACACACAACATTACTAACACACAACATTACTAACACACAACATTACTAACACACAACATTACTACCACACAACATTACTAACACACAACATTACTAACACACATTACTAACACACAACATTACTACCACACAACATTACTACCACACAACATTACTAACACACAACATTACTACCACACAACATTACTAACACACAACATTACTAACACACAACATTACTAACACACAACATTACTACCACACAACATTACTAACACACAACATTACTAACACACAACATTACTAACACACATTACTAACACACAACATTACTAACACACAACATTACTACCACACAACATTACTAACACACAACATTACTAACACACAACATTACTACACACACAACATTACTAACACACAACATTACTAACACACAACATTACTACCACACAACATTACTAACACACAACATTACTAACACACATTACTAACACACAACATTACTAACACACATTACTAACACACATTACTACCACACAACATTACTACCACACAACATTACTACCACACAACATTACTAACACACAACATTACTACCACACATTACTAACACACATTACTACCACACAACATTACTAACACACAACATTACTACCACACAACATTACTACCACACAACATTACTAACACACAACATTACTAACACACAACATTACTAACACACATTACTAACACACAACATTACTAACACACAACATTACTACCACACATTACTAACACACAACATTACTAACACACAACATTACTAACACACAACATTACTAACACACAACATTACTACCACACAACATTACTAACACACATTACTAACACACAACATTACTAACACACAACATTACTAACACACAACATTACTTACTACCACACAACATTACTACCACACAACATTACTACACACACAACATTACTACTAACACAACATTACTAACACACAACATTACTAACACACAACATTACTAACACACATTACTACCACACAACATTACTAACACACAACATTACTAACACACAACATTACTACCACACAACATTACTACCACACAACATTACTACCACACAACATTACTAACACACAACATTACTACCACACAACATTACTAACACACAACATTACTAACACACAACATTACTAACACACAACATTACTAACACACAACATTACTACCACACAACATTACTACCACACAACATTACTAACACACAACATTACTACCACACAACATTACTACCACACAACATTACTACCACACAACATTACTAACACACAACATTACTACCACACAACATTACTACCACACAACATTACTACCACACAACATTACTACCACACAACATTACTACCACACAACATTACTACCACACAACATTACTAACACACAACATTACTACCACACAACATTACTAACACACAACATTACTACCACACAACATTACTACCACACAACATTACTACCACACAACATTACTAACACACAACATTACTAACACACAACATTACTAACACACAACATTACTAACACACAACATTACTAACACACAACATTACTACCACACAACATTACTACCACACAACATTACTAACACACAACATTACTAACACACATTACTAACACACAACATTACTAACACACAACATTACTACCACACAACATTACTAACACACAACATTACTAACACACAACATTACTAACACACAACATTACTAACATACAACATCACTACCACACAACATTACTAACACACAACATTACTAACACACATTACTAACACACATTACTAACACACAACATTACTACCACACAACATTACTAACACACAACATTACTAACACACATTACTAACACACAACATTACTACCACACAACATTACTACCACACAACATTACTACCACACAACATTACTACCACACAACATTACTAACACACAACATTACTAACACACAACATTACTAACACACAACATTACTAACATTTACACTGGTCCAGACCAGAGCAGAGAGGATTCATGGTTTTACACTGGTCCAGACCAGAGCAGAGAGGATTCATGGTTTCACACTGGTCCAGACCAGAGCAGAGAGGATTCATGGTTTCACACTGGTCCAGACCAGAGCAGAGAGGAGTCATGGTTTTACACTGGTCCAGACCAGAGCAGAGAGGATTCATGGTTTTACACTGGTCCAGACCAGAGCAGAGAGGATTCATGGTTTTACACTGGTCCAGACCAGAGCAGAGAGGATTCATGGTTTTACACTGGTCCAGACCAGAGCAGAGAGGATTCATGGTTTTACACTGGTCCAGACCAGAGCAGAGAGGATTCATGGTTTTACACTGGTCCAGAGCAGAGCAGAGAGGATTCATGGTTTTACACTGGTCCAGACCAGAGCAGAGAGGATTCATGGTTTTACACTGGTCCAGACCAGAGCAGAGAGGATTCATGGTTTTACACTGGTCCAGACCAGAGCAGAGAGGATTCATGGTTTTACACTGGTCCAGACCAGAGCAGAGAGGATTCATGGTTTTACACTGGTCCAGACCAGAGCAGAGAGGATTCATGGTTTTACACTGGTCCAGACCAGAGCAGAGAGGATTCATGGTTTTACACTGGTCCAGACCAGAGCAGAGGATTCATGGTTTTACACTGGTCCAGACCAGAGCAGAGAGGATTCATGGTTTTACACTGGTCCAGACCAGAGCAGAGAGGATTCATGGTTTTACACTGGTCCAGACCAGAGCAGAGGATTCATGGTTTAAAGTTCATACTCACAGCGGAGTTTATCGATGAGTCTCCCTCCACAGAGCACCGAGAGCAGAGCCTTCACTGAGAGCACCGTGAGGCGACCTTCAGGGTCACTGCAACACACCACACTCTGTAAAGCTGGGCTACCTGACTTTCTCATGAACACAGAGAATCCTGTAAAAGTTAAATGTTGTGAACTAATCAGACCATGTCTTCATCTCCTGCCAGAGCAGAGACAAGCTCCACCTCTGCTGCTGTGACCTGATGTTATCACAGCCTAACATTAGCCTAACATTAGCCTAACATTAGCCTAACAATAGCCTAACAATAGCCTAACATTAGCCTAAAATTAGCCTAACATTAGCCTAACATTAGCCTAACATTAGCCTAACAATAGCCTAACAATAGCCTAACATTAGCCTAAAATTAGCCTAACATTAGCCTAACATTAGCCTAACATTAGCCTAACATTAGCCTAACATTAGCCTAACATTAGCCTAACATTAGCCTAACATTAGCCTAACATTAGCCTAACATTAGCCTAACATTAGCCTAACATTAGCCTAACATTAGCCTAACATTAGCCTAACATTAGCCTATTATCTCAGGAAAACATCATCATTGAGTCTGTTCTAAAAGGTCGACTTCAATTTAACCTTTTCACTGTAATTAAGAGAATAATCTAATTAAGTTATTTATTACTTATGTGTGTATTTCAGTCCAATACATCTCTTCTTCATAATTGACCAAGTTATGGTTGAATCCAATAATATTAATGTCAAAAATATGTAAAAAATGTAATTCTGAAAAGTTGATGAATGTAAATCACAAACAACTCTTTTGTTTTTAGATGTGGGCCCTGGACCAAAGTGAGTCTTCATGATCAGTACCAGTACCAATACCAATACCAATACCAATACCAATACCAGTACCAATACCAATACCAGTACCAATACCAATACCAATACCAGTACCAGTACCAGTACCAATACCAGTACCAATACCAATACCAATACCAGTACCAATACCAATACCAGTACCAATACCAGTACCAATACCAATACCAGTACCAATACCAATACCAGTACCAGTGCCAATACCAGTACCAATACCAGTACCAGTACCAGTACCAATACCAGTACCAATACCAGTACCAATACCAATACCAGTACCAGTACCAGTACCAATACCAATACCAATACCAGTACCAATACCAGTACCAGTACCAATACCAGTACCAATACCAGTACCAATACCAGTACCAATACCAGTACCAATACCAGTACCAGTACCAATACCAGTCCCAGTCCCAGTACCAGTACCAGTACCAGAGGGGAGGCCTCTCACCTGTCCACAGAGGCCAGGATGAGCTGCACCAGGAGCAGCGTGCTCTCTCTGGGGTTGATGGTGTGAGTGGTGGGAAGTCTTTTACTCAGCTGGTTGAACAGAGAAGACACCAGGTTCTCCAGACGAGTGACCGATATCCCAGCATGCACCTGGACCGTGTTCAGGCCTGCATCACGCACGGCCTCGATCACATGGTAAATGTCAATCAGGTGCACTGGACCAGGACAACAACAGTGAAGAAGAAAAGACATCAGACAAAACACTATTATCACACACACATGGTGCCGCCCACATGTGTCAGACCTTTGAGGCTAAGCAGGGCAGGACCTGGTCAGTACTGTGATGTGAGACCTCTGGGAAGACCTCTTGCCTTGTATGGGTCTAGTGTGTGTGAATGGTTGGTGGTGGTGGGAGGAGCCGATGGCACAAAATTAATGCATTATTATTATTAACAATATTAATATTAAAAATATCTGAAGAGCTTTAACCATGTGACAACATCATCCCCTCATCAGTCAGAGACCTGGAGTTGTTTTTAGATCCATCCACATCAGGAACCTCTGCCACAAATATGTAGCTCTGCCCCTTCTGTCTGAAAGCCCCGGTCTCAGTCCTGTAAAAGTGTGATGTCACCACTATGACATCACACCCAGAGCAGTTTGTCCATAAATTTCATAAATTAAACAGTTTTAATAATTTCTCAGGTAAAATTATGTTTTTTACTATCACATGTCAGTGTTTACATTTTCAATTTCAGATAAAGGCAAAACACCTCCCTCTGGTGGTAGCATAGGGAAGGGCAGCCCAATTAGCCTTGATATTTGATTCTACTTAATCGGCTCATGAACGTTTTTATGGCTGAAATTAATGTAGAAGTGTTTATTCTTTAATGTCTAAATTACACAAAGAGGTTTTTTCATTTCTATCTTCGGCAGACGTGTTTGTGTGACTCACAGTTGCATCTCTTCTGCAGAAATCTCAGTTTGCAAGCAGTTCGATATGTCGACAGTACAATGCCATCAAAGTTTTGCTCCCCTGGGACAAGAAGATACAGAATGTTTTATAATATTAAACAAATATTACAGATACAGGGTAATATCTGAGTCTAAAGACGTCTGTGGGACTCACCGAGCTCCACCAGGATCTGCTGGCTCTCCGGGCCAGGCCCCCGGTCTCTGAGCCCCCCGTCCTCCATCCTCACCATCCTGGACACAAAACACAAACACCTTTTTAAATGCACACTTTAGAAAAAGAAAACAATCATATTATTTCAGATACTTATTTAAAAACAATTAAGTAAGTAATGTTTATTTACAGTGGGGCAAAAAAGTCTGTTCCAGTATACTGAAACTGTCTGTTGTGAGCCACTTTCAGAAGTTACTGATGAAAAGTTCACCTTATTTGATAAATTAAGTTCATTTTACTTCGAGGTTGTAGTTAAAGTAAAATCAACTTAATCAACTTCTGAAAGTGAGTTCAAGTGACTCTCAACAGACAGTTCCAGAGGCTCACAACAGACAGTTCCAGAGGCTCACAACAGACAGTTCCAGAGGCTCACAACAGACAGTTCCAGAGGCTCACAACAGACAGTTCCAGAGGCTCACAACAGACAGTTCCAGAGGCTCACAACAGACAGTTCCAGAGGCTCACAACAGACAGTTCCAGTGACTCACAACAGACAGTTCCAGTGACTCACAACAGACAGTTCCAGTGACTCACAACAGACAGTTCCAGAGGCTCACAACAGACAGTTCCAGTGACTCACAACAGACAGTTCCAGAGGCTCACAACAGACAGTTCCAGTGACTCACAACAGACAGTTCCAGAGGCTCACAACAGACAGTTCCAGTGACTCACAACAGACAGTTCCAGAGGCTCACAACAGACAGTTCCAGAGGCTCACAAAAGACAGTTCCAGTGACTCACAACAGACAGTTCCAGAGGCTCACAACAGACAGTTCCAGAGGCTCACAACAGACAGTTCCAGTGACTCACAACAGACAGTTCCAGAGGCTCACAACAGACAGTTCCAGAGGCTCACAACAGACAGTTCCAGAGGCTCACAACAGACAGTTCCAGTGACTCACAACAGACAGTTCCAGTGACTCACAACAGACAGTTCCAGAGGCTCACAACAGACAGTTCCAGAGGCTCACAACAGACAGTTCCAGTGACTCACAACAGACAGTTCCAGAGGCTCACAACAGACAGTTCCAGAGGCTCACAACAGACAGTTCCAGAGGCTCACAACAGACAGTTCCAGAGGCTCACAACAGACAGTTCCAGAGGCTCACAACAGACAGTTCCAGTGACTCACAACAGACAGTTCCAGTGACTCACAACAGACAGTTCCAGAGGCTCACAACAGACAGTTCCAGAGGCTCACAACAGACAGTTCCAGTGACTCACAACAGACAGTTCCAGAGGCTCACAACAGACAGTTCCAGAGACTCACAACAGACAGTTCCAGTGACTCACAACAGACAGTTCCAGAGGCTCACAACAGACAGTTCCAGTTCCAACTTTCAGTTTTATTGTCAGTGAATGAAAACATCTTAAAGTAAAGTGAACAGTTTCGAGTTGTCGTTTTTACAGTGCACTGAGTCAGAGTGAGGTCGACTTATCTGCGCTCATTTCAAAGTTGTCATGGCAACCGGCTGCAACTAATTTGACCAAATAAATCATTGTATTTATTTTTACCGTAGTAGACAGGGCCAGGCCAAAGTAGCCCTGGATAGTCTGGGTCAGTCTTGCAGAGGTTGCATGCAGTGCTTGACAGAAACTAAGCTCTAGTTGAATAAAGCTCAATTGCTAAGCAATAATTACTTCTCAATCTGAGAGTTCTAAGAGTTCAGGAGCTTCAGACTAATATATGACTGTATCGTTTTGTTCACAGCATTTATAAAACTAAAACGGATTAGTAAAAACTATGTGTAGTTAGTCTGTGAGATAACGAGTGTTAAAGACTGTGTTTAATGAACTTATATTGTTATGTTTATGGTTTTTATAAAACTAATCTTTATTGAGGGAACACACTGCAGTGTGTGTGGCACGGTGGCTGAGTGGTTAGCACTCTCGCTTCTTAGCAAGAAGGTTTTGGGTTCAGATCCCGGTCGGAACAGGGCGTTTCTGAGTGGAATTTGCATGTTCTCTGTGTCTGCAGAGGTGTCCTCCGGGTGCTCCGGTTTCCCCTACCCAAGTGACCTTGGTCTGTAAAAGTGCTGTATAAATATCCATGAGGATGAAACGGGAGGATTTAATGTGGGGCATAATTTAAACTCAGAATAGTTTTTACAGACTTGAAAGTCCCAGTAACTTCAATGACACAAACTTAGTTGCAGAACTAGAAACACTGACACAACTTAATGTTTGTAGTTCTTCAAAACGTAAAGAATTAATTTGATGCTTCAACTCAAAAGTCGCGTGCAGCAGTTTCCTTAAAACTTTTTTGTTTTTATAGAGCTGGCACTAAAGGTGAATTATAATGCATTATTTAGCCACATGTGATTCAATAAAATAACTTCATTCATAACAACATTCTAAACCCACAAATGGATGGTGGACATTCTAATGTCAGATTCACACAAAAACTCTCCATCATCAAGTTAAAGCGTGTCTCTATCATTTAAAATATGTAGATTATAATTTCTAAATCCTTTGGGAGCTACTTGGAACTGGTTTAGCACAATCAGGAGAGAACTATCACAGCAACCCCATAATAATACATTATTTATAGAATGCAGTAATGGGCTTAGGTAGAATCATCCCATTCTAAAATGGTTTTTGTTTTACCTTAATGCCCTCTGATGACACTTCTTCACAGTTGCATAAGACTAACGCAAAAACAAGAAACAAAAAATCTAAATAACACAGAGACAGTTAATCCTTCATGGTCTTGTGGTGGAGCAATAGTCTTCAGTAAAAAAACATAAATCGTCTCGGTGCATAGTTATTCTTGATCTGAAACCTGAAATCTGCTCTGAGAGGCAGAAGTATCGCTCCGCACACAAACACAAAAGCTATGAGCTAAAATGCTGCACCTTGTAACTTTAGCTTCAAATGACAACACGCCCTTTTGGACACACACGAGACTATATCCAGTCCAAGGCCATTCAAGGATGGGCTTGTAAATAAACAGCTGAAGTCATCTGAGCCTCACGCCACAGCCCGAGAGACTGCATCCTTCTCACACTTGTCTGGAACTTTGCTGAGGTCTTTCAGGTTCAAATAATAAACACAATCTGTAAGTTTGTGGAAAGAAACCTGGAAACATGTGCATAAGTTCCAACCCAGTGAGTGTTATTGTGCTGTTATCTAGTTATCTGTACCATAGACCACAGGTACACATAGACCACAGGTACACATAGACCACAGGTACATATAGACCACAGGTACATACAGACTGTTATCTGAGTGAGTGCCCTCATCACAGACCACATTATATCTGAGTGACTCTGAGCTTATACTGAGCTCCTCACGATCTATTAACCTTCATCAATGACACATATAGACCACAGGTACATATAGACCACAGGTACATATAGACCACAGGTACATACAGACACACAGGTACATATAGACCACAGGTACATATAGACCACAGGTACATATAGACCACAGGTACATATAGACCACAGGTACATATAGACCACAGGTACATATAGACCACAGGTACATATAGACCACAGGTACATATAGACCACAGGTACATACAGACACACAGGTACATATAGACCACAGGTACATATAGACCACAGGTACATATAGACCACAGGTACATACAGACACACACACAGGTACATATAGACCACAGGTACATACAGACACACACACAGGTACATATAGACCACAGGTACATACAGACCCACAGGTACATACAGACCCACAGGTACATACAGACCCACAGGTACATACAGACCCACAGGTACATATAGACCACAGGTACATACAGACACACAGGTACATACAGACCACAGGTACATATAGACACACAGGTACATATAGACACACAGGTACATATAGACCACAGGTACATATAGACCACAGGTACATACAGACACACACACAGGTACATATAGACCACAGGTACATATAGACCACAGGTACATATAGACCACAGGTACATACAGACACACACACAGGTACATATAGACCACAGGTACATACAGACACATAGGTACATACAGACACACAGGTACATACAGACACACAGGTACATACAGACACACAGGTACATACAGACACACAGGTACATACAGACACACAGGTACATACAGACCACAGGTACATATAGACCACAGGTACATACAGACCACAGGTACAGATACAGTACATATGGACACACAGGTACAGATACAGTACATATGGACACACAAGTACAGATACAGATACATATGGACACACAGGTACAGATACAGATACATATGGACACACAGGTACAGATACAGATACATATGGACACACAGGTACAGATACAGGTACATATGGACACACAGGTACAGATACAGATACATATGGACACACAGGTACAGATACAGATACATATGGACACACAGGTACAGATACAGATACATATGGACACACAGGTACAGATACAGGTACATATGGACACACAGGTACAGATACAGATACATATGGACACACAGGTACAGATACAGATACATATGGACACACAGGTACAGATACAGATACATATGGACACACAGGTACAGATACAGATACATATGGACACACAGGTACAGGTAGAGATACACATCCTATCTCTGGAGCGCTCAGCCTCCACTCAGAGGAAACTCATATTTTGGCCCATGTGGGTCAGAACAAATACATTCTTGAGATAGTATTGTTTGGACTTTGTATTATCTGTATTCGTGCTAAGGTCGGAAATATGCAGGTCAGATTCTATACCTACCCTGGTCTTACCACACCATTGTACTCATTTCATTTGGTAGTAAGGTCTGGATTTGCTCCATTGACTATTGACAGTAGGTCAGTTGGTAGAGCATTGGCCTTTGGGCCTGAAGGTCGTGGGTTCGAGCCCACCATAAGACCTACTTCACAACTCCCACTGATGACTGCTGTCGTTGTGTCCTTGGGCAAGACACTTAACCCCACTTTGCCTGAAGCCCCCACTGAAAGATCTCAGCTCCTGTGGACTCAGCACCTGCAGGAGGATCAGTGAGAGGCTGGTGCTCTGTGGACTGGGTGCAGCTCTGACTGCCACCCCCCCGACCCAGAAATGGATTAAGGGGAAGAAAATGGATGGATGGACTATTGACCCTCAACATGAACAGGTGGGAGGGGCTAACTCCTTTTGCAGATTGAAACCATTGGATCTGAGTTTACTGTGACGTATGTAATGAGCCCGAGTGAGTGAGACATTAGCCTAGCTTTAGCAATTAGCCTAGCTTTAGCATTTAGCCTAGCTTTAGCATGTAGCCTAGCTTTAGCCATCTCCTTTGCCACTAACGGAGCCCGTGGGGAGTAGAGCCACAACATCTTTGCTTCAATGACATTTACTAAACATTCCTCTTGCTCCGGCTTCAGTTTCTTCATATTTGGATTGAACCAGAACAGATTATTTTACTATCGTATTCTCCATGGTCCAGAGTTTACACATGGTAAGACCAGACGTACATGTAGGAGAGGATCATGGACCAGAGTTTACACATGGTAAGACCAGAGTTTACATGTAGGAGAGGATCATGGACCAGAGTTTACACATGGTAAGACCAGACGTACATGTAGGAGAGGATCATGGACCAGAGTTTACACATGGTAAGACCAGAATACAACAGGTCACAGTCTCATGTTTAAATGGTAAGAGGTTGTGTTTTGGTTGGTGTGGTGTGGTGGTAGACAGGTTTACACATGGTAGAAGAGTTTAATGGTGTTTCATGGGTGTGTGTGGTGTTGGTGCAGGTTTGGTGGTGGTGGTTGGTGGGTTGGTGTTGGAGTTATGGGGTTGGTGTTGGTGGTTGGTGTTTACCTGTGGTGTGGTGGTTGGTTTCATGGGAGGTGTTTGGTGTGGTGGTTAATTGGAGTGGTTTGGTGTTGGTGTTGTGTTGGGGTGTTGGTGTTGGGTTGTTGGGGTGGTGGTGTGGTGTGTGGTGGTGGTGTGGTGGTGGTGGTGTGGTGGTGGTGGTGGTGGTGGTGGTGGTGGTGGTGGTGGTGGTGGTGGTGGGTGGTGGTGTGTGTGGTGGTGGTTGGTGTTGGTGTTGGTGTTGGTGTTGGTGTTGGTGTTGGTGTTGGTGTTGGTGTTGGTGTTGGTGTTGGTGTTGGTGGTGGTGGTGGTGGTGTTGGTGGTGGTGTCACTGTGGATGCATCTGGGCACATTCCTCAGAGGATTTCCAAACCTTCCCAGAGACTTGGGCTTCATTCAGACAAAAGAGTCCTCCCTCCGCTCGGCTGCAGCTGTTTCCCCAAACCTCAAACTCGTTCATCTGATCCACGGACACAGCTGCGTTACGTTTACACCAGTGCAGACTCAGAATCAGCTGATTATATAATTATAGTAATAATAATGCATTTCATTCATTAGGGCCTTTCTACACTCAAGTACATTTAAAAACAGTTAAAATACAGGTTAAAAAGCATGAGGCTGAATCTGGTGTAGCCATCTTTACTACATGCTGTCCCTAAAATAAACAAACTTCATTCATAATTGTTATTTCTATTTAATAGCACTGAATGGATGTTGCTGATCTGGGCAAAAATATATATATTTCTCTTTAATCGTTTTGATGATAATATTCAGACGAGATTGCAGCAACTGGCATCACCATTGTTATAAAGTGTGCTCATAAATGTGTCATTTAAAGCTGTGGTACCTCGCTTTTTTTCATAAACAATACATCCATCCATCCATTTTCTTCCCTTTAATCCATTTCTGGGTCAGGGGGGTGGCAGTCAGAGATGCACCAGCCCCTCACTGACCCTCTGCAGGTGGTGAGTCCACAGGAGGACGGCTGCTCTCTAAGTGTGAGCATAGCCTTGATCTTTCAGTGGGGGCTTTGGGCAAAGTGGGGTTAAGTGTCTTGCCCAAGGACACAAAGACAGCAGTCATCAGTGGGAGTCGGTGGAGAAGGTGTAGAGGTGGGAATTGAACCCACGACCTTCTGGCGTTAAGGCCAATGCTCTACCAACTGAGCTACTGTCGCAATAAACAATACATTTACTCATAAAATAAAATAACTGTCGCATAAGAAGGAATTAGACAAAAATGTGCTAAAAAAGTTTCATATTCGCAAAAAAACAAGTACAATATAATCCACAGTACACACCAGAGCTTGGACCAGAATGATACGGTTCATAGTTATTAATGGTACGGTTTTAATTTTACAGGGACAGTGCACAATAAACATTAGTCACGAGGAGGTTTTAGCAGCATTGCTAATCTACACCTGTGAAAGAATGAATTTAAATAAATGAGAATATGTTGAAGCCGGTTCCGAGCACATCAGACCGGTTTCAAACAGCTGATGTCTGTGGGTATAAATAACACAGAGCTATAGTGGGAGCAGTGCATTGTGGGTCGCGTTAACCATGACTGAACTGTTATTCACAGAGATAACTGCTTCCTGTCTCCTGTATTTGCGTTTTCTATTTTTACACCTGGAGATGGTCGTTAACATTCTGCTCTGACCGTGTCATGGTCTGAAGAAAGGTTTCCGAGTATTTCTCTTTGGTCGCAGACAACACTATCATTTATCATGCATTCTTATGTGAACTACTACTGTAGCCACAGCTGCCCTGGGGCATCAGCCCCTCCCACCACCACCAACCATTCACACACACACCAGACTCATTCTAATGTGGGGGAAGTGTCTTGCCTAAGGACACAGCCACAGTTTGGCACTTTACAGCCGCCCCACTGTAGCACCTGCTGTTTAGAGGTCTCCCATCACAGCACTAACCAGGCCCTGCCCTGCTTAGCTTTAGAGGTGATATCTGGCTGATTAGAACACAGCCTGAGTTATGGATAACTGCTATCTTATTCTATTGTCTTTAGTTGATACATTATAATTGTTTTACTTATTCTATTTTTGATACAAAGCAGAAAACCTGTTTATTGAAACGTGTCACTTTTATTTCTGAGCTAGGGTTAAATTATAACAATAAATCTGAAATGAAGGTGTTCAGAGAAATGTAGAATACAGTTTTGTGGTTGAACCACTAGAATAAGACTCAGACTAATTCTCTGATCTGTTTTGGTTAATCGACAACTTCCTCAAAGTCCTCTGAGAAAACTACTGTAGTGTTTTAGGGCTGTACAAAAATACATTGAATAAAAAGAGTAAAAAGAGAGTGTAACTAAATAAACCCAGGGAACACATTACTGACACACATTACTGACACTAAACTGACTTTAAAGTGATTGTCTGGAGTTTGTCAGAAAGAGAAAGAGGTACTTGATTTGAAAAAAACGACGCAAGCTCCTCCCCCTTCCTTTCTGATTGGTCTACACCTACGTTTCCGTAACACTTTGAAATGTTAATGAGAGAACACATTATACATATACATTATTAATACACATGCACGGAGGTTTTCAGAATTATTTGTGAACGTTTTAATGAAAAAAATAATGTTTTTATGCACAAAAAAAGCGATCGCGGCAAACCAGGAAGTGCTATTATCATGAATTGCACATTATTATATAGGACACATCTGCAGAGGATCTGATTATGGATATAGGTTCAGAATATACATAAGTACTTCAGCGCGGATGTTCAGAATTCTTTGTTCAGTTTTCATGTAGTTCCAGAGCCTAATAGAGGCTCCGCGAAAACAAACAACTGAGCATGAGCAGCTGCGAGCATCAGCGCCGATGATTGACAGCCCTTGGCATGACTCGATTGGTTAACCTCGACGGCACCGTGGATTCTGAACTATAGCTAAGAGCAGGGAAGGCGGGACTTGCCCGTAATATTAGAATTAATAAAATGACTTATTTTATATCAACATTTAAGGCCAGGAGGTCAATTTAGCACATTTCCTAAAATTTGTAATTAATTTAGAGTTACAGACTATCACTTTAATAACAACACATCTGAAAGTTAGAGTTATTTAGTAGAACCACATCAGAATATAACACCAACACACATAAGTACACAGCCCCTTCCCATTACTGAAATGACAATACCATAAAACATTTCCCTTCATGGTCCAACAGGCTGGTTCCATCTGTGTGTGTCTCCTGTGTCCCAGTGCTTTACAGCCTTTGATATTTGCAGAGTTTTAGAGAAACAAACAGATCTGTTTTTAATGCTCTGAAAGACTCACAGTTTGAGTCTAAGCCTGATCTGTGTGAAAGTAAAGGTCCCATTTCAGCCCCGGGGGATGTGTGGCCGTACCTCTGTGTGGCAGGAGCTCACGCCGGCACCACGGGTTCAATGGACCGCTACCAAGACAGAAGAAGAAGAAAGTCATCAGTCGTGTGCTGCTCAGTCCAAAGACAAATGAGAGAATGGTTCTATGGGACTTCTATGGGACTTCTAAGGGACTTCTATGAGACTTCTATGGGACTTCTATAAGACTTCTATGGGACTTCTATAAGACTTCTATGGGACTTCTATAAGACTTCTATGGGACTTCTATAAGACTTCTATAAGACTTCTATGGGACTTCTATAAGACTTCTATAAGACTTCTATAAGACTTCTATAAGACTTCTATGGGACTTCTATGAGACATCTATGGGACTTCTAAGGGACTGCACTAATGGACACTCTGGGACACTAGGGCTTTGTGGAATCCACATATAATCTTGAATGAATGAAAAAGTTTAGTGGAAGAGAGTGGCTTGAATGTAAATCTGTAAATCTACACTGGTTTCTTGTTTATCAAGGAGGTAATTACGTTCCAAAAAATTATACAGAATATGGTAAATCTGTGAAGTAGAAGCAACACCCCTCACCACACACTTTATACACGTCTCTATGTTTCTATTTACAGAGACCAGAGAGAGAGACAAGAGAGAGAAAGACAAGAGAGATACGGTCTCTCTCTCTCTGGTCTTGCTCTGGTCTCTCTCTCTGGTCTCTCTCTCTCTCTGGTCTCTCTCTGGTCTAGACAAGAGAGAGAGACCAGAGAGAGAGAGACCAGAGAGAGAGAGACATTAGTGACATTACATGACTACTGCAGGAGCTCCAGTATGAGCTGAGGCCACACATCCATCAGTCTCTCATCAGGCCTATCCTGTCCTCAGGACTCTGAGGACATTGGTCTAACACTGAACACACAGACCTTAGACACACAGAAGATGTGACTTTTATTCCATCAATAAAGTCTGTCTCATAAATCAGAAGAAAGCTCTCTCTCTCTCTCTCTCTCTTCTTGAAAGCAGACCAACTCCAGTGAGGTCTCTCTCTGGTCTCTCTCTGGTCTCTCTCTGGTCTCTCTCTCTGGTCTCCCTCTGGTCTCCCTCTGGTCTCTCTCTGGTCTCTCTCTGGTCTCTCTCTGGTCTCTCTCTGGTCTCTCTCTGGTCTCTCTCTGGTCTCTCTCTGGTCTCTCTCTGGTCTCTCTCTGGTCTCTCTCTGGTCTCTCTCTGGTCTCTCTCTGGTCTCTCTCTGGTCTCTCTCTGGTCTCTCTCTCTGGTCTCTCTCTGGTCTCTCTCCGGTCTCTCTCTCTCTGCAGTCTCCAACTCCAGTGGGGTCTCTCTGAACCTAACCAGCTCCATGATAAGGCTGTGGGTGAGACCATGAACGTTGCCAGGACTAGATTATATAAACAAATTGAAAATACCAGAAAGGAACGCAGCAGCACATGGTCATTGTGGTGGGGACTTGTTTACTCCCATCATTATTGGATTCGGGTGAAAAACAGGAGGTGAATGTGGGGCGTTTGGGTGGTCTGTGGGACTGGGACCCCCTACAGAGTGACGAGGAAACTAGAGACGTGACCAGAGACGACATTCTTAGAGTTAAAGCAGTTCACTGATTTTAGCTTCACTATTTGAAAATTCTGTGATTATTTATGATTTTAACCCTTTAATGCAGGCATGTCAAAGTCAAATACATCAGAGGGCCAAAAGAAAATGTTTGCTACGCGCCGAGGGCCGGACTGGTTCAATGTTTCTCAACATCCAGAGGCAGTGCCGGTGACACCTGCTGGCTCGATAAAATATGCTCCAAAGCCAATCCTCATACTGTACATATTAGATGTAATAGACATCTGAGAACATGAAAATAGTAAAAAAAACAAAGCTCAAACTTGGTGAAATGTAAAAGAGCAGTCTGGACCTCTTTTCGGGGCGTTTTTTTATTAAATCTGCAGAATGGATTATACTTTGGGAAATACAAGTGGATATTCTTCTTCAATGAACAGTTACGGAGAGAAAGCGACTAAGCAAGGATGGGGAACGTCTAATTTGTTGGAGCAGCAGAAGACGAAAGGTAAAAAACAAATAAGCTTTAAAATGATATATAGCTTGGGGCTTATGAAGTTCAA